CTCCTCAGAGTTTTTGATATGTTGGAGTATTTAGAAACGATTTTACCTTTCGTGGAAAGCATTTTATCTTCTTAACAATATGAGGTATATTTTAATGGGTGATGGCGCTGCTGGAGGCCTGTGATGTCACCAACAATGGTCGCCATCTTGGCCGCCATCTTGCATTTTACCAAAATGGTGATTGTTGTGCTTTACATTAAAAACAACACATAAATAAGCACTTTGCATTATTTTAGGCACAAGATTTGCCTTTATTGTTAAAAGAAATTGAAAATTCATGTATTTTCACCCAAAAATGGCTTGACAGCCTGCTACTAATGACGTCATATCTTGTATCCATAGCAACTGACCATCACTAAACTTGTCTCAAAATGTGGCGAGGGATGAACGAACATCTACTGAAAACATGAGGTGCTAACGGTTTATCCTCTCGAAAAAAAACTCAGAAAAACCTTATGGGGGGGGCAACATCCACCCCCCCCCCCTCGCCCCCCCCCCCCCTCCTCTTGTATCCTTGTACGTCCGAGTATTAATTGACATTCGTTCTAAGTCAAATATTGAACCTAATTCAACAAAGTCGTATTTAATTTGAACCAGTCGAATTTAGTTGATTCAGACGTCCCATCTCAAAGCAGTTACCTCTAATGATAACAGTGTCCAGTTTTTACTAAAAAATACCGGTAGACACGCTATGATACATACCGCATTTTTTATATTCCTGTAAACTTTGCTTTCAATTTACAACATTATGTTACTAGCTTTATTATATACATACTGAGAAATACTCACCAAAAGTTGTGTTGTAAATTTTGAAACGCAAATGAGTTCTAGCCAATCAGCGGAGTGAACTATGGTTTTCACAAGTGAAAAAAATGATACGTCCAATCAGAATCGCGAACGATGTTTTTTCACATGTGAGAAAAATGATACGTCCAATCAGAAGCCACAGAAGTGTGTGAGTTTCGCACAAAATTCCCGCCTTTTCTTGCAGCTTGCTGAGCGCCGCCTCGCACACATTCGAGGAGAAAAGTTTTTCTCGAAGAGTTTTTTCTCGTTAAAAAAGTGAAAAACATTTCAGAAATGGAGTGGAATAGTTTCGTTTGTTTCCTTGTCGATAAAGAAAACTGTGAAGAGCCGGCGAAACAACAGCGGAAGGGGAAAAACAGAACAAAACGTAAGCTTATGATGTGCTTTTTGTCGGAGCATCTTTGTCTCCCATTTATAAGCTGAAGCTTGTATTGAAACCGGCCATTTTACTTAAATTCACTCATTTTCAATTGTTCATTCTGAACAAACAGTTAAGATTACTTGTAGTTCTTGGATTACCTCATATCCTTACCGTCATTTATGTTTTTAAGAAACGTTTCTACTAAAAAGCACTATGAAGCAAAAGTAACAATAAAGCACCACACATCGCCGAAATTTAAGCATTTTGGAAAGATTTAAAATAAAAAGGCCACCAAAATGATGAATGTCTCAGTATGTATACAATAAACACAATACCACATGGAAAGTGCTTCGTACGGTATTTACACACTCGTTGTTTTTGTATCAAAACTCTCACTCGTTCGCTGCGCTCACTCGTTCGATTTCTGATACAAAAACAACTCGTGTGTAAATACCGTACGCCAGCACTTTCCATGAAGTATTCTCTATATATTCACCACACAGGTAAAAAAAAAAAGTAAAAAAAATATAAGGTTACGAAAAATGTGTGGCAAGGGGATACGAAACCGGACCCTCAGAATCAGTCAGAAATAAGAGTTAGCGCCTCTATCCACTGGATCACCTAGATAAACGCTGACACCTCGAGTTTAAAAGAGGTATCTACTCCTTCTCTATTGTGATGGACAGTTTTCAAGGATAACTTTCTCGTTTTTTTTTTTTTTTTAATTTCCCTGTAGAATTAAATCTTTAACTGATCGCAGCTAGACGTAAAGCTCACAATAAACCCATTAATACTCTTTCAGGCTTGGTGCATGCCAGGGAACGTTTAAGAAATTTATGAACTATAGATCGCACGGGTACCGACTGAACCGTATGACCGTACGATTCTTCTGTACTCCGTACTCTTCCTGCTCGTCTTGTCTTTTCTTCGGTCGGGGAAAACAATAACACCTCATTGTTCATCGTTATTTCCATTGTTTTAGGTTAGGGTAGCGAACCGTTTGGCTTTTAGGGTGAGAAGAGCTGCTACATGATGACCTCTCTCCCCGTAATGAAGAAAAATAAAATGGCTGCCAAATACATCCTTTTAGTTCTTAAAGTTCTCCTTTAAACATTTATTTCGGCAAACAAACAGTTAAGTTGAAAAATGATTTTACTAAAGTCTCAAGAGTAGGTGTCCTTTCTTTTCGATTTTAACTTGCAATATCGGTCAATTTACGCAACTCTTAAACTTCTGGCTTAGTTTTCGTTTGGTTCTGCTTTGAGAATGGAATAATAATTACTCAGAGACAATACGGTGTAAACAATTGTTGAGAAAAACAGCAAAAACTTGCCAGTTATGACAAAAAAGGTCATTTAAAAACAAACTTAAACATTCAAAAGACTTTGATCGCGTGACTGTTGACGTCATGTCCCTCTTTTGGTCATGAAAAAATTTTTTCAAGTAGAACATTACTTTCCCGCAAATTTTCTCTGCCGTGTGATAAACGGGTTAGCCTGCGAACAGCAGACGTATTTCCGGTCGCCGCTTCTCTCCCTCCCAAAAATAACCAGTCCGGAAGATTCCTAGATTTAGAGACAGTTGTGACGTCATGGAGCTATTGTTTTCGGGGAAAATGGCGGATAAGACCAGAGTTGACTGTTTCCGGGATCTCAGGCATATTTCGAAGACTTTTCATTAGGCACACAATTTTTTTAAAAGTCCTGCGTATCGGAAGCCGTATTGGAAGTGCATTGTGAAATATTCAGCACATTTTGTGGCTCATTTCTCCTTTTAAACAACACGATGAGGGCGACATTTTGGTCAGTTTTTAAGGTAGGTGAACAACTATCTATTATTTTTTCGATTCACAGATTTTCAACGAAGTTCTAGATATTTAGATATTTATACTAGTTTTATATTTAGATATTTATACTAGATATTTCTTTTATTATGTTGAATGTGGGGATGGTAGACAACTTTTTAATTCCGAGGTTCAAAACACGTGTTCTACTCCCGGGTTTCAGGCAGTCATGACAGGGTCCTGTTATCACTTTTTTTTCGCATTAAAACGGGTCTTTGCATTTTTCTTTTCAAGGTAAGCTTATTTACAGACTCATGTATATTCACTGTCCAACATCTCGATTCATGCTCACTTTGCCGAATTTGCGGGGATAAAATTAAAGATTATAAGCTAACTCCAAGGTAGATCCATACTAACCGCCTTGTTTCTGAAATTCACCAAATCTGAAAATATTTATTTACTGTTGGATTCTCCAAACGTTTATCCACGTTAAAAAAAAAAAAGAAAAAAGGCAAATTTCAACTGTAAATGATGTACTTCGCTACTCATTAAACACTGATAATCTGGGTTGGATTTTAACCTTGCAGGTACGACAGCAAGCAAAGAAAGCGCCAGGTGCATGAAGTCCATTTGTGCTGGCAACACGAAACAAGACAAATTATTAAATTTGAACAACTTTTTATTCTTGTTATTATGACTTGGTCTTTGATTCTTGTCCTGTAGAAGTTAATAGGTGGTACCATTCCTGCTTTGTATGATTTCAAGACATTTTCATACACTCTCTACGGCTATTTTTACACGGGACCAGTTTGCTTCTATCAAAAATCTTGTAAAACATGCCACTGAAGCCACGACCTCTGCAATCGGTCTGGAATATTCAAACACCCCAACGATTCCTGCAATGAGCAAAACTCTTATTCTCTTCATCAAATGTTTTCTTCGAAATAATGTGAAACCTAGACGAGTACTTTTTTTTTCAGGCTTCTTCTTTCCAATTGCTTAAACTGGAAAATTTACTGCGATGATCATTCTTCACTTTCATCTACAACCGCGTTCAAGAAATGAATTATTTCATATACTTCACATCTAGACGAGCACTGTTAGCGTCTGTTAAAAGAAAAACGAAATAACAATGCTCTGTCCTCCTCAGTCCGCCATTGTGAAAAATTTTTGAGCACTTGGGCGATGTTTTGGTAAACAAAAGCGCGCCTTTTCATTGGTTGAACAGTGTCGCGTGACCAGCTTGCCCTGTCCCTAAATTTAGGGATATTCCGGACTGATAACGTCTGCGAACCCGAGAGGCAACACGATTTTCCGTGACGTAAAACCTTTTACTTTGTCGTTGGCCAATCAGATCAAAGGATAGAATACAGCTCTAGTGACTCCTCGCGACATCGAGCGCTGGCGAGTTAGTTCCTTGATTTTAAGAGCTTAACCGTGCTTGGCTAAAAAGGTTTTAAGTCACGGAAATTGTTTTGCCGCTCGGGTTCGCAGAAGTTACTTTTTGAAGGGAGAGAGGCGACGACCGGAAATATGTCTGCCGTTCGCAGGCTAATAAAAGATTGACTCTCTACAGCCCTCGGCCTAGTCTCCCGACTTTTTCGCTCATGTTCATTACACCTTTAAATTTTAAATGCCAGACGTCAACTGCTTATTTTAAATGCCCTAAACAACTTAAACCTCAAATATGCTATTTGTTTTGCCTCGTTGATGAAATCTTGTCACAGCAAAAAAAAAACCTTATTCGGAAATAGTCACGTGGCTGATGACGTCATTACCTTAGATATGACATGGTAAGATATTTTATAGCAAACGTTATCTTGTTGTGGTCCGACAGTTTTCTACGTATAAAATTGTCAAAGTTATAAAGCTTTTAAAAGTTGCCTCAAAGGATTCTGGGAGATTTTTTATGCTAATTATAATTTACTTTTATAATTATCACCATCATCACATGTCGCAGTAGGTAAAATGTAGCAATTCAACTAATTCAACGCGGGTCTAAATGAGGATCCCGAAATTGTTTGTTTTGTTTTGTTTTTTTTTCGTTAAGAGTTCACTGAAGAAGAAAGAGCTGGTTTGGCAAAACATAATGATTATCGCCAAATACACGAGGCTCCACCAATGAAACTCAATAGAGAGATGTGTGACCAGGCTAAGGCCTACGCTGAGAGACTTGCTGCAAAGGGGACACTGCAGCATTCGCCTAAGAGTGAGAGAAGTGGACAAGGAGAGAACCTTTCCATGGGATGCTCCACCAGAGGTCCACAGTCCATGGAAACGGCTGTTACAAACTGGTGAGAGATAAGCCCTAAGAGCGATCAGCATCAAAATTCTCCTTGTGCTATTAATGTTTTATAAAACAGATCGGTGACGAGAATGAAGGAAATGATCACAATAGATGAATCTGGTTGATTCCTCCAACCTTCTATAGGAAACATATGTGGACAACAGAGGATGTAAATGCCTCATTGAATTCGACTTCACTGCCATCCAAGTCCCATTAGCTCCCTCGTCCTTCCTCCTTATCTTCCCTTTTGCCATCTTCCTATTTTACATGAGGATCGCAATGGGGTTAACCGTCTGCCGTCAAACGGCCTGAAATTTTAAACTTCAGCCGTAGAAAAAGGTGATTTTGTACAGTCAACCGTCAAAAATGTAGAGTAATATTAACCGTCAAAAAAGTTTCAAGGTCAGTTTCAAATCTCACCATTTCAGCTGATCTTCACGGCGTTCTGGCTCCTGAAGAATTTCTAAACTTGAAAAACAAATTCCTATGTTCTCAAACATTAACAGATGTTAAAACTTGTGATTATATTTCGAAATTTTATGAGTAAAAGGCCATAACTCTCTTAAAAGGTCTACTATTCAACCGTCAAAATTGGAAAAAATAACTGTCAAAGCTACTGCCCCATTGAGACCCTCTTTTCTGGCCTGCGTGGTAATTTCCGATACCCGGGTATTGAGCACTGACTGGTAGATCAGCCAGGGCAATATGTCTGGACATTGAAAAGTTCCAGGAAGTGACCAACTTTTTCTCCTTGAGAAAAATATAAAAATTCAGGAAATTCGGTTAGGCATAAATTCCCTTAATTTTTCTGACTGACATTACATCACAAACTTACTTGTCGATGAGCCTGTCTACGGTGGAACTAAGCAAAGCCCTGCACCTTGCTGTCTCTGTCATATTTATGTTTCTCTTAATTTTTATTTTTTATTTAAACATACATATTTAAACGCGTTTTAGGTACAACGAGGTCTGTGATCCTGGCTATAATTTCGCTAGCGGTGGATTTTCATCTGGCACAGGTCACTTCACCCAAGTGGTTTGGAAAGGAAGTACTGAGCTTGGCATTGGGAGAGCTGAATCTACCAAAGGATCAATGAAATGTGCCTATATTGTGGGCAGATACAAACCAGCAGGAAACATGATGGGTGACTTTCCAGAAAACGTAAAAAAGGGAAGTTTCGACAAAAGTCATTGTAATTCTAATTTTGATTCACCCTGGGCAAAATTCGTCCATCAGAATAAGGAAGTTCCTTTTAACAGAAATCGTGTTACTAAGGTCGATGTTCCAGAATATAGTGATAATGTGACATTGAGCTTCTGAAGAAGAAAACTTTTCATATCCTTCTAGTAGTGTAACTCATAGTTGGAGATTGATATTATGGTCTTAATTAAAAGCTCCTGTTCCTTAATAAAGGCGTCGTCAGTCTTAAAGGGTCGGTAGGCACATATTTTTTGCTATGGGCCAAATAAATTCCAAAAAATCATCATCATCATTTAACAGCGTCATCAACGTTATGGTCATGCATTATAATCATCACCCTCATTCTCGAATCAAAAATACACGGAGGATCTTTTAATATACATGATAATGCTTTTTGTTTGATGAGGGTGACTTGACTTGACTTGACTGGACTTGACTTTTGACTGTATCTATAGGGTTGGAAGGGTATTTAAAGCTGGAAAGGCACCCCGGGTGATTCACTTTAATTTCATTACTCGCCTTACTGCTGAAAAACTCAGTGAAGGATAATAAAATCAGTATCCATAAAAATGAAGGTTCAGATATTACCATTACAATCTCCTCACTCGAAGCAACAACCGCTATACATATTTCATTTCTAACTTTGGCTGCTATAAGGAATGCCAGCAAAGCAACCCCAAGCTTGATGAAAGAGATTTGCAAAAACTTTTCTGTGTGCTCAATTCAAGAACAGGGGTAACACTTTCAACAATAATTCTGCTTGTTTTCTTCAAGCTCACCTTTTCAATTGCCAGAGACAGGTGTATAATCGTTATTATGGCCTTTTTCCAATTGAACACATATTCTAATGTATTGAAGACTAATATTCCTCTGTTCCTGAACTCAAACTTGGCCAACTTTTCCAACTCTGAAACTATACCGCGGACAATTATTCAATTGGGTTTTTCAAAAAGTGTTAACAAGATTCCCATATGGGCAAGTAAACATGAATGTCTTGATCTAGATCTCGCATTTAAACACGAGGAGATTTACACATAGGTCAGAGGATTGCTTGTTTCTTGACCGGCCTAGTTCTGACTGTTGACAACTCCGTTGTAAAGTTTGCGATCGGTAGCCTAACAACTACACAACACAAATAAACAAATAAGCAATTTACCATAAATGTGTTCTATTAACATGCTGCAATACGATAAAACAATTTCGTCGAGTTTGAATGAATGTATCCAGTAGTTACCACTGACAGCAATGTCTCGCTCACTCGCCGTGTTCTCTGCACACGATTCTGCAGGTACCTCGGGGATTGAACCTACATGAACTAAAGATCAAATGAATAAATGAGCTTGTCGGAATAATAATAATAATAGTAATAATAATAATAATAAACTTTATTTAAGTGCCGTGTAACTTTTAGCAAGGTGTTGCTAATTGGGGACACCCTATCATAAATAACAAAAAATAAAAAATATTCACCTAGATGTGTGTGAATTTAAAAATTATATATTTATAACAATTATATACATACTATAAGTTTTAGAAAGATAGAGTTATGTGTATATGAACATTAAAAAATGTAGAATTATAGTTTAAGAGTGATATGGAAAACAGCCAGTTGAACATTTTTCGAGCAAAAAACTTTCCAGGTCCATTTTCTTAATTGTCTTTTAAAATTGTTCAAGTCACATTGTGTTCGTACATTTCCCGGTAATTTACGCCATAAATTAAGGCCCTAGATATCTGATAGAATGTTTTTCATAGGTTACTGTATTATATCTCGGGATTTTCATTTACATCTGATTATATTAGCTCAATCGGAGCAAACACTTGTGAAAGGATAAAATAAAGTTTATAAGTAGAGGTGGAATATAATAGTCCGGGCGAGTGTAGTCCGGTATAAATGTAGAACTGTTGTTGACAGCAACTGACGTTTCGATAACCTGTGCAATTATCATCTTGAGTATCAAAGAAATAAATTTAAGTTTCTCCCTGACCAGCTACCGAATTTTCATCGATACTGCTGGAGACGGGAACCTTACACTTAGTTAACTGACGTCTCAACTTAACCCTTAGACGCTCACGCAAATTCATACCCTCACCGTGTGGTACAAGGGAGATTGATGAAACCCCACCCTTGAGTTTTTTATAATTATGTTTCAGTGGAAAGCCTTTGATCTTCTCAACAAGATGAGGTATATATTTTATGGGTGGTGGCGCAACTGGAGGCATGTGACGTCATGGACAATGGTCGCCATTTTGGTTTTTGCCGAGAATTAGAAATCAGGTTAAAACCGCAAGAAGTGCTAATTTGTTGTACTTGACAAATAAAATAACACATAAATAAGCACTTTGCATCATTTTATCCACAATCTTTACTTTTATTGGTGAAAAAAGTTGAGAAAACAAGCATGGCCATGGCTTGACCATCTGCTTCTTATGGTTTTCTGTGTGCTCAAGTCTCTCCTTGGAATTGCGAGACAAAAAATATACAATTTTGACCCTCGGAAGCTTCGGAGTTGTGATAGAATTTTAATATATCGAACGTGGGCTATTACAGTATACAGATGTGGAGTTTAAGGCAAACTCTGAGCTTTAGGAACTTCTTCAATGAAGATCCGCGATACAGACTGCCAGCCCTTGGAGGCATCACCAGCGACTCCATGTTGACAATTACCAACCCAGAATCCCACGCGTACCCTTCCTTTGTGAATGTTGTTACAATTCCCCTCAATATGGCGAACGCGGTGAGGATCTTGAGTGTTGCCTTGCCACACGTACACAATACCGTCAATGGATAAGGGAGCTGAACACTCTGCGCCGTTGAAAGTGAAATACCAGCGTTTGCAACAGGATGTACACTTGTAGACTCTAAAGGCACCGGTCCAGGAAACACGAAGAGCAGTATCAGAGAAGTTTTTATAGAAGACGAAGTCCTATACAATGACAATCACGAAAACAACAAGTAAGGAAATGAAGCAACGACAGCAATAGGAATACATCTATTTCGGCCGAGTGATTCTCTTATTGAGATATTATTACAAATTATCTATAATATATAGATTTAGCCAGGCTAAAAGCGAAACGCTGGTTAATAATACTTATAAACGGAAAAAATAGATCGTGTAATGCTAAAAGGGGACGGCAATGAAAATGGCATCAAGATCAATAGATCTAATTAGCAATTCTTTGCCGTTATTTTGCACGACTGCAATGCCGTTTGTACGACTAAAACGTCAAGCGTCCTAGTTACTCAATATTTTTATGGAGGAGTTGTCGTATGTGCTTATCCAAGGTTTTGTTTCCTGTGTTCATGTTCGCTTTTATTTTTTCACTGCCGCTCATTTTCACCTGAATGGTTTTCTCCCAACGAAATTCGTCTCCCTAGCACTTCCTCTGTTATCAACGTGATTGTAAACATAAAAAATAAGTCGAAAAAGACAGGACTTTGTTTGTTTGTTTTTTGTTTTTTTTGTTTTTTCTCTTTAAAAGTCCGAGCGGCCATGTGATTTTCTTCCATTGCATTTCGGTTGCCATGCCTGTTGATTGAGTTATTTTCTCTTGGTGTGCCTCTGGTGCGGACGGACGGTCGGTCGCTCGGGCGCTGTACGGTCCTGTGATTACCAAATTTTCTATGACGGGTCGATTTACTTAGCTATGGGGATCCGCACGCGCACGCTTCGCGCGCATGTGGAGCTTCGCTAAAACGAGTTATCATAGTAGTTAGACTACTGATAATATGAAACCTCACGGCCAAAGTTTACAATCCCCTTCCGGGAATACATAACAACTGTTCTTTTGCGTAACACTAATGAACTTGGAGTGATTCGAACAAAATATTCGATTTGTTTGAAATTGTTGAACTGTGTTTTGGAATTTTGTTTGCTAAAAAAACTTTTTTGCTAATATCGTATGGAAGTTATCTATTACTAAACAATATAAAGAGAAAAATGTCAAGTTCTTGTCAATCTACTCTGCTTTATAACTGCTGCAATTCCGCACCATTTTGCTTTTCGAAATGAGACCAAACACGAGATCCTAATGATAGCAAAGTTCATTGTTCCAAAACAAAGATAAACGTTCGCTATTTATGTATCGACTGTGTCGGATGAGAATGAAATGGTCTAAAGTTGCAAAAAGGTGGACGTCGTTGCCATAGCAAAGAAACTGCGAGAATTGGACACTGATATTCGCAATTCAAGAGATAAAACGAAGAGGTATTTTAATGTAGATACAGTTTAACCTTACCTTTATCAGACCGTAATCCCTGTTATCATCCAAGTTTTTCCAAGCACACTCTCTCCAGTTCCTGATAGCCAGCATTCCACTTGATCCAGACTCCCCCTTAGGACCGGGGACACCTTGCTCCCCTTTAGCACCTTCTGCACCAATAGGGCCCGGAGGTCCCTGGGGTCCAGTATTTCCTGGCATTCCTTCGTCACCTTTCGCCCCGTCACGGCCATCCCGTCCGTCACGGCCTGGTATCCCAGGTGTACCTGGTATTCCGGGTACTCCATTACACGGGGATGTTGACTTCTTTAAAAAAGTGAAGCATGATACAGATATGTTATCTTCAAAAGTAGCAAGAGAAGAGCAAGGGTAGCCTTTCTTTTGACTTGAAGGAGAGCTTTGAGCTTCTTGAAGGTGGCATCCTGGTTGTTTCTTGGGGGGGGGGGGGGGGGGATTAAAAAAAAGGGAGGCGGAAAAATTATTGTTATTTTAAAAAGTGGGAGAGGAGGGGAAGGGGGTCCTTTTTTTTGTGGTTGGGGGGGGGTGTTTGGTTTTTGGGGGGGGGGCTTGGTTTTTTTTTTGGGGGGGGGGGGGGTGGAATGATGTTGATTTGGAAAATAAATAAATTAGGGTACAAAACATAAAGCAGCGTAGTCCGCCAATGGGCTCAGAGGCGCCTTGCTGTGGTGGTGAACTGTCTGGTATTGGTCTACTAATTATTCACTTCATATTTCATTTTTTAAAACTCCCAAATACAATTTCCTGAATTTTCCAAAATTTTTAACAATACGTCCCCACCCCCAATTCCATTTATTAAAAACATTCGAGAGATCATCCAAATATTCTCAAAATATTAGTGACCTAAAGACTCCAACTTATAGAGTCTTTTTTGATGAACGAAACCCTTGGCAAGATATTTAAGAAAAAGGGCGCAAACAAAAGAAAAAAAAGCTTTCCCTTTAAGTCCCGTTCAGCGCATGTTGAAACAAGTCCAAAAATGTCCATGACAATATAAATAAAAACGAATTAATAAGCAGAAATAAATAATCTAAAATGCACGAAAACCTGTTAAGTAGCACATCGTCATATATTGATTTGCATAGTTCAATATCATGGAGGAATCGGGATAAAAACTAATACACTCCATTTGACGATGATGATATCTCTCTTACTGAGCTTCTCATTCAAATTCACCAGACTGATTTCTTTACATTTCCTTAGAGAATGAGCTGAGGGATTTTGCTAAAAAAAACAAAGCAGTTTTCCCTTTGGTGATCATCTTAATAAATTCTTGCGACCTTTTTTACTGGATGATTTATTGATATTTGGGGGAGAAAATTTATGCTGAGAAAGATGTTTCATTTTTCAGGCGGTGACACAGACGGCTGAGAAGAAAAAAATCCGATTACTTCCAACGAGAAGCGGGGACTACTTTAGAAAATAAAGTATGACAGATATAATGTCGAGAAAATTGATGTTGGTCTCTTTCGGGACTTATACTTTTAAAAGAATGTTCTTTGCAAGTGCTTTCTCATCACTTTTATTCTTTACTACTTTCTAAATTACTTTATCTTTATCACTTTGTACTTTACTAATTGATGGTAAAAGATATAAAAGATATAACCTTACCTGGTTTGTTGTGTCCAAGGCGTGGGTAATTAAGGTAACCAGCCCAAATATAACGATGAATATTTTGCAAGGTTGAGACATCATTTTACCTTTTGTAATTTAGCAGAGATAAAACGCAATTTGATCAGTTACTTTATCAGCTTATTTTATCGCGTTGTGAATGAAATGCTACCAATCTTAATTGAACCTCTCTATCTCGGTCCTTTCTGTATTGACCGACTCAAATTTTTCGGAAACATTCGCGGCTATTTGCAACAAAAAAATGCTTATCGTTAAACGCTCTTTTATTTGTAGAGGTCCCTGTGATCGTCGCTTGGTTTTTGGGTTTGCCAATGAAAGCATTCACAATAAACAGTTCTCTGGGGCGGGAGTGTAAATACTGATAACAAATTGAAGACAGTTTAATATTTACGTATTTCTTGTTTACATGCGTCGTAACGTTGTCAAAATCTTATAGATTTACGAGCCACTGAATAATAGGATAATTTAAACCTTGACAATGTGATAACGCAAATTTATACTGGGAATAGAATGACTAAAATAAAAATTAATAAAATTTTATGAAGGGTGCGCTGCTTTGATTGACCAATAGAAACGACAAGGTGTAACAACGGTACTTCGGGAAAAATAAACAAACGCCTGCCATAAAGACAAAACTGATTGAAAGCGACAAATGTGAAGATTTGAAAGGAGGCAGTCGGGGTTGTGGTGGGACTTAAAGGATGACCAATCAAACTGGCTTACTGTCGAGTCGCCATTGCTATTTAAGGCTCCTGGTTAAACATAACGTATCTTTATTGTCGAAAGCTAAACGAAGAAGACAAATTTGAAAAAGGAAATTCCTAACTGCGCAAAAACCAGGAAAAATGTTTGGTGACATCATGAAATGTCATGTGATCATTTTTTGCTTGCTAAATTAGCGTTTTTGAGCCAAAAAACAAAGATCTAAATTGATGCAATTTTGCGGCTGTTGATTGCCGGCAATATACAAGGGCATGTAATTAGTTCCACTATAGTTTGCCCTCCTCCATTTATTCTTGTAATTTGTCCGATATTTAAATCTTAAGAATAACATCTGTAATAAAAATGTCTTCTGCAGCGATAGGCACCACAAAAAATACTGAAACTGGGAAAATAAAAGTTTTCTTTATCGTAAGATGTGTTTTGGCCCAAGGCATTGTTAAATAGGCTCCTTCGATGTTTGAGAATTTTGTAAGCAGTTTGTTGTGTCTGCCGCCATAATACAGAGTCCCTGTGACTCTTCATCGTCAGCTGAAGGAATTTTTATAATCAAACTTCGAAATGAATTAATGGCACATTTGTACGAATATTTTCGCTTGTTTGGTTGAATTTAGTACTTTTAGAGAGTAAATTCTCCCACAAGTCGTTAGACACTTCAAAAGTTAAAAGGGATCAGCATTTGACCAATAAAATGATAAGATGTATGACCTTCTCAGTGGCTGTCATAATAGATTTAACTGACCAGCGAACGATCGAATATTACAGACGTCACACTTCTTCCCCTCCTTTCACTAGCCAGGTAAGATCGTTAATTACAATAAAAACATTTTCGCGCGCTTATCGACAAAATTGCTTGTCCTAAATCGTCAATTTGAGTCACTAAATCACTACAATCAGTTGATTTTCTTTTTTTTTTTTTTTTCTCAGTTCATTTACAACTACACTGCTACTGCTGGTATATTATAAATAGTGAGTTTGTTGCATATCTTAAATTTACTCTGTTATCATCCAGGGTCTATTGTTCTTTCTTCTGGAGGTTTGAATATACGATTCACAATTTACAGATTGAAGCATTTTTAACATTCATTTTACGTTACCAAATTTTTCACGAGTATTCATTAGAGAAGTTTGGTTATATTAGCGAATGTATATGTGACTAGGTTTTAACATTCTATCAGATCAGTTGTTTGTTGTCATTTATTCATAGGGAGGGTAGATAGATGACCTGGTTCTTAGAGATCAGAGGACCTTATTCATTCGCAGGTGAACTACTGAATCAAAAAATTTAAAGTGGAAAAAAATGGAATCTCGTTACCAGATTTATCAAAAAGGAGAATCTTACACGGCGTTTATAACCGTATAGAGGTGTTGCTTTCAAGCAATTAGAAACAACAGTGTGCAGGGTATAATGATACTTGTTTTGCTTTTTATCATGCAAGTACAGAAAATGGAAATGTTGGTCTGTTACTTCTTGCTTGCTGCCGGAATAACACAAGCAGGTAACACCAGACTCTGTCGTGAGTCCTGTTCTTGTTTATTCTTTGTTGGATTGTTTACTTAGTAATTAACTCTTTGATTTGTCATTGTTATATGTTCGTTCGTCGTTCTCTTCGTTTGTTTACTATGATCACATATGGTTCAGACATATAACAAACAAATTGCCAGAACTTGAGTGTTTGATGAAAGGTGTTATGGTGAAATACTTCGCCACTTGTGAACCACTGAAGTTCATAGACATTACCTGCAAAAACGGCTTGAATGATTAAAGGTTTTGGAAGCTTCGTCTAGATATTTCAAAAAAAAAAAAACTTTCCGAAGCTCATAACCTGTATTAATCCCTCCAGCATGACCCCTGTCATCCCCTCCTTGATGTCATAATAAATGCTTGGTGCTGGACTAATCTCTTTGCAGATGTATTCAATGTATTAATAATTTCCTAATCAATACCAAAAATTCATGTTTATCTCTATTACATATTTTTCAACTCAGAACCGAGTCCGCAAATTTTCAAACCGCTTAATGGTCTTGTAAAGATCAAAGGCGAAGGAAAGATTGATAACGGCAAGACAGCGTTAAGTCTCAACATAAAAATAATTGGGAACGGCGGCGCTGGTGGCATTGGTAAAGGAGCACAGCAACGTCCCGGACCTCCAACACCAACAACAGGTAAAAGCTAAAGATTACAAAGAGTCCTTATTTTACGTTGATAACTCGATGTAGTCTTCTGACTAACAAACCGGAGGCCGAAGATTCAGGAAAGAAGACCGGATTTGAGGTCAAATCTAGGAATTGAACTCGAAACTCCCGCGCAGTTGGCGGCGAACTAAATTAACTGCGCTAATCTTTTCTCCTTCAAAACCAAGAACATAAAGGCCAACCTTATTGCCACCACCGGCAACCACAGCCACTGAAATGCCCAACTTTAAACCCACCAGCACGTTGCCAAAACCATCAACTGAACAACTAGGAACACAGCCACCACAGCCACATAGTTGCTTAGCTTTAGACCGTAATGCTGCTTCCACCTGAGAGGAAAACACCAAGAGAAGTGGGTTGTCCTCCGGGAGGTAGTTGCAATATAATAACACTTACTGTAAGAAAGCTTCCTTTTACAATGTTCTCTTGCAAACAAATGACAGTACTTAATAGCGACAACTGTAAAACGTCTCTTCTTGCGCAATTTACTTGTCAAATAAAAACAGAGGGGCTCAAGGCCAGCAAAAGGAGATTCAGCAGAAGATAGTAAACACTTGGAGTCCCTATAAATCCTTGAATACCGAATAGTAAAACAAAACTGGATAACATCAGAAAGGTTAAATACGGAAACAGTTTCGGAACCACTTGAAAATTTGTTGCAGTTTTTCTTTCTTTCCTTTTTTTTTTTGTTTTATTCTTTCTGTTTTATTATCATAGATATATCTCCAGTATTTATGAAGGATAGGCTACGGCCATAGGGGCGTTGAAAAATGGCATTTCCTCATTGACGATTGACGTCCTCTCCTAGGCACTAACATCCTCATCTGCATAATCTTAACGAGTGATTCCTCATCCCTCCTAGGGTTTTCCGTAGAAGATGAGTCAGCCTTAGCAGAACATAACAAATTCCGCAAAATTCACCTATCTCCCGAGATGACATTAGACAAGAAGATGTGTGACGAAGCCAAAGCTTACGCAAGGAAGCTGGCCAATCTTCGAATGATGATACATTCATCTGACTTAAAGGACCAAGGAGAAAACTTATCCTATGGTTGTTGTATGGGATGTGACAAAGCGCGAACTGTGGAGGAGGCAGTGAAGGGCTGGTGAGAGTTTGCGTGAGGAAATAAATCATTTTATTATTCATTCAAAATATTTTCCTGATTCTGATTGGCTAAAAGCACATGCATAATTCACCATAACCAGCTACTTGTAATGTACCAGGAATTTGTATATCAAAACACAGAGAACTCAACACCATTTAACTTTAAGTCTGTAAGCACATGGCAAGAAGGGCCTAATGAACATGTACGAAGCGCATAAGGATTCATGGGATATGACAAATGCCCCCTCTTGAAGCAAAGGAAGGAAAAACTGAACCTCATAAAAATACAGAGTAATGCACTGATAGGGACAAGTCCTAAAGTCACGTGAACACTTAAGTTTACTAAAGACTAGTAGAACCTCTGAGGCGTTTTACGCTCTCTGAGAGGGTTGCTCAGGCGCTGATGCTTGAAGCTCAGTCAAGCTGAGTCCCATTATCTGTTACCAGATGCTCAGGTAAACCAAAGTAACTAAAAATGTGTCTCAAAGCAGTAATAGCGTTGGTGCTGGTGGCATGAGTCATGGGTACTATCTCCAAAACTTTGGAATAAGCATCCACCACGACCAAAAACATCTTGCCAAGATAAGGCCCAGCAAAATCTAAATGTAATCGTTTCCATGGTCCTCCTGGTCAGGACCATGAAGCAGCTGGGGCGCGCGGGTGCTGACGATTTAGCAGATTCTTGACAAGCAGGACATAGTTTAGGTCAGGAACAAAACATGGTTAGGAACTGTGTAGCGCTAATAAGTTGATTACAATTAAAATTTGTCTTTGTGTTCTTAGCGCTAAAATGTTTGAAAATCCATAGTTTAACTGTCTCCTCAATTTGCTTATCAAGGCCAGGTCACCAACAGTACTTTCGAGCTAATTGTTTCATTTTAACCATACCCAGGTGTTCTGCATGCAAATCGGCCAATAAGAAAGCCTGTAGTGACTCTGGTACAACGACTCGCGAGTTCCACAGGAGGATACCATCTTCATGAGAGAGTTCAAGCCTTTTGCTGTAGTAATGTTGGAAAACTGGTTCCAGATTATTTCGCCAACCCTGCTGAGTAAACTGTAACACCATTCCAAGAACTGGGTCTCTCATGATTTCCATAGCAACTACGGACGCATTTAAAAACTGATCTTCTTCGATAAACATCACGTTTACAGTTACCTGTTCTACAGCAGACTGCTTGTATTTAATAGGCTTCCTAGACAAAAAATCCGCAAACACATTGTCTTTGCCCCTTATGAATCAATTGTATGGTCATAAGCAGCAAAAGTAGTGCCCATCTTTTGATCCTTGCTGCTGCCAACAGGAGTACGGACTTTTGTTCCCCAAGTAAAGTAATAAAAGGTTTATGATCTGTTAGAAGTTTGAAGTGTCTACCTAACAGGTACTGGCGATATTTGGTCACGCCAAAAACAACAGCTAATGACTCGCGTTCAATTTGGGATTAATTTTGTTCTGCATTGTTCAGTACCCTCGATGCATAGGCAACAGGTTGTAATACACCATCTGGTCCAGGTTGCAACAATGCAGCTCCCAGAACCACTGGAGAAGCGTCACATTGTAGAATTAATTCGGCCATAGCATCATAGTGGCGTAAAACCGAATCAGAGCACAGAGCAGCCTTGATGTTATCAAAAGCGTCCTGTTCCATTTTTGACCAACTCCATGGTACCTCCTTACGAAGTAATCCGTACAAAGGTGAAGCCAACTTTGCAAAATCCGGCACAAATTTACGTAGAAAATTGGCTGATCCAAGAAATGACTGTAATTCAGAAACATTTGTTGGAGGTGCTGCATCCTTTATTGCCTGCACTTTCTCACCAGTAAGTGAAATCCCCGCAGCAGAAATGGTAGTACCAAGATATTCTACTTTATCCAGCATGAAAAAGAATTTATCAGGGTTAAGCTTAAGACCGCAGTCCTGTAATCGTGTTAGTACTCGATGAAGGTTTTCCAGATGGACTTTATCTGATTATCCGGAAATATGGATGTCATCAAATAGGACACAGCAGCCTGGAAGGTCTTTAAGGACATATTCAAGAGTGCGTTGGAAGATTGACACAGCACTACTCACTCCAAACGCCAGGCGCTTGTATTGGTATAAGCACAAAAGAGTGCTAATTGTGGTGTATTTCTACTTTCTGGTGTAAGCTCTAGTTGATGGTATGCTTGAGAAAGGTCAATCTTAGTGAATTTTTTTACCCCGATAATGTACTCAGTTGTTCCTCCAGAGTTGGTATGGGGTAATGTTCTAGGACTGAAAATTTGTTGATGGTGACAGAGTAGTCCCCACAAATTCTCAGATCTCCATTTGCTTTAATAATAGGGACTGTTGCTGATGCGCACTCGGAATGCTCTACTTTCTCAATGATATCCTCTGCCACCAATTTCTCCAAGGCCTTTTCGTACTTACACCAAATTGCAAATGGTACTACTCGTGCTTTGGTAAACACAGGGCTTTCATCACTTACTCGCAGTGACACTTAGATTCCTTTAAGTTTACCTTCTGAACTAGTGGCAAAAAAATCCGAGTACTGTTGAACTATATCCTGCAGCTGCAACACTAAAAATGTTCTGCCAAGGTAATGTAAACTTGGACCTCATATCCCGCCCCAGTAGTGATGGTCCCTGAACTACACGAATTAACACTGGCAGGTTACCCACCTGGTCTCTAACTTTGACATCCATCTCCTTCTCACCAAGACACTGGATAATGTCCTCAGTATAGCTTTTCAAAAGCACTGTAGGGGGTCTGAGTGTAGTTACTTGTCCTCCTATTTTGGTAAAATCAGCAGAACTCAACAATGTCACAGAACTGCCCGTATCAACTTCTATAGGGAATCATGGTCTTCAGTTGTAACTCTAAGTTTGTATAAGGGCGGTGTAATTAACGAATTTCCAGAAGATTTCACACTTTTCATATAAACTGTACAAGAAGGGACTAAATTCTCGTGCTCCTCCTTGGTACATGTTCCTGATGTTGGAGCAGCTAATACTTGGTGAGTGGTGTTGTTACCACCAAATTCTTTCTTTTTCTTGAAGCATGCCTTAGCCAGATGCCCAGGCTTCCCACAGTAATTACATGTAGATTCGACATGACTGCACTTGTCAGCCAAATGTTGTGGAGAGGCACACCGAAAACAATGCTTCCCTCCCATTTTTGACTTAGGATCTGTTTGCCTTTGGCTTTGTTGAGCAGGAAAAGATTTCTTGTGAACAGCTTTTACAGGCAGAATTCCAGCACCGGAAGTGTCGGAGTTGCCCTGGAGTAACTTGGGCTTGATGGAATGTCCTACATTCTGAAAATAGTTTCTTTTTAGTAGTCTGACTTCTCACTCCCCCAACAAATTGATCTCTGAGGGCACTCGTAAGATAAGGACCAAAATTGCAGTTCACAGCTAAGCGTTTTAGCTTGTTGCATACTCCGCTACGCTTTCAGTTTCACTTTGTACATTGTGATGGAAGCGGTAGGTCTCTGCAACTTCAAGTACCTTAGGTTTGTATTAGTCTTTCAGAATTTGTGTAAGCTGATCGTAAGTTTTATCAGCGGGTAAATCAGGAAGACAAAGACCTTTGACCGTACTGTAAGCGATCAAAGTGCCAAATTGCTGTGTAGTCATCGCTAGCACTTTAATTCTTTATCCTCGTCGCCAGTTTGTAATGTACCAGGAATTTGTATATCAAAACACCGAAAACTCAACAACATCTAATTTCGAGTCTGCAAGCACATGGCAAGAAGGACCTAATGCACATGTACGAAGCGCATAAGGATTCATGGGATATGACACTACTGATGACCAAATTTGGAAGAATTTTGCGTTAAATGAACCGACGACGTCAAAAGTGCAGCCTCTTTGCAGGTTAATGCACCGTTAACCGAGAAGACCTGGGGACGAGGTTGTGAAAACAAAAATGGCGGACATTTCACTCGTTTCAAGAGTAAGAACTAGGCGAAATAATGGCTAAAAACATCACACGAACAGCAAGAAGACAACTCGAAGGGCGACATCTAGCCTGCTATTTGGAGAATATTTGCGGAGCTAAACAACCCTAAACGTGCACTATCGAAGATGAACTTAACATCGATCTGATCGGTGAAAGTAAGCACGTTTAGCTATGTTTTTAAACTAGGAGTTATTTTGAATGAATAATAAAACAATATTGAATTCGGCTATCGTATCATATAAAGAATTATTGAGATCTCGGAGGGTGTTATCCGCCTCGGCCTACGGCCTCGACGGATAAACTCAGCCTCATTCGTTAATTGTTAAATATTCATGGCCATATTTACGTGTGAGAATGATTTGGCGAAAGAAAACACTTTGCTTTGAAAGATCCTGTTGTACAAAGTTGTAAAGAATGACTGATATCAGGTTTTTTTCTTTTTGTTTTGTTTGTTTTTGTTTTTGTTTGTTTTTCTGTTTGTTTGTTTTTTGTTTTGTTTTTGTTTTTTGCAAACTTAACCCTCGAGGAAAGCTTAATAGGGCTTTTGCATTAGTTGATCACGTGATCAATTTTCGGTAAGATTTTGAAACATTTTGTTATCCCGAGCTGAAAGAGCATTGTAAAATTATGTAACCTGTATGTTGTCAAGTAATTATGTAAATATTGCGATGGCCGCCGAAATAAGGAAAAGAGCAACAGTTTAACAATTTCAGAATTTGCAAGGACTTGTATGGAAAACCACTCAAGCGTGACTGGGTGGCAAGAGTTGTTTTTCCCATACAAATAACTTCTAATTTCCGGTGGCCGTTGCAATCGCTACTTTTGATCGAGATATACGGCTAAAAATTTACAGTTTACCTAATTTTAATATGCTCTTTCAGCTCGTGCTAATATAACTTTTGCAAAGCGAACTGTTTTCGTGTTTACCAAAAGTTGAGCACGCGACCAGCTAATACAAAAGACCATTCTGGACCTCAGAATTGCAAGAGCAGCGTTTCTACACTAGACTAATAGCTGCCTTTGCAACCCTCTTGTTGTTTAGCTGCTCTTGTGTCCCTACCTTTAAAAAAATATAAAGTGACTTTCACACTACCGACTCCCCTTTTCGGCTTCAAATTTACCTAATCTGTAATCTATGAATGAAAAGCGCGGTAGATAATGGACTGCTGTGTTTCTTATCTTTGTAAATAACCTTTTAGGTACGACGAGGTTTGCGACTATAATTTCGCTACTGGAACGTCTGCAGGTGTTACGGGTCACTTCACTCAAGTAGTGTGGAAAGGAAGCACCAAGCTAGGCATTGGGAGAGCTGAATATACCGACGGATCAAAAAAATGTGCTTACATAGTTGGAAGGTACAAGCTACAGGGAAACATGGGTGGTCAGTACAAAAGCAACGTAGAAAAGGGAAGTTTGGACCCAAGATATTGCATTGCAGTTAAAGCAAAGAAGGCAAAGGCATTTGACAAAAATGGCAGAGCAGTGTACGTGAGTGCCCCGTCTGGGACAATTGACGTCTCGGGCGTGGAAACTGCCAGTTTACCAGATGCTCCTCCAAAGACAAGCATCCTTAAAATACAGATTTTGAACAAAAAGAAGAAGAAAAACTTCGTTGGTTCCAGCATCATTAATGATAAGTAATTGTGATAATTAAAACTCAATTTTACCGTATAAAAGCGTCATGTTTCCTCCCATCGGAAAAAGAGCACCCATTTCGAAAAAACTACTCTTTTTGCATAGTACTTTCAGCTTTGCCGTACAGTATTTATCCTGGTCTTCGTTGTTAAAATGACGCTTTAATTCAGGTTAAGTATAGGAAGGTATCGGAACTATAACGAAGCTTTTTTCTGTGATAAAGAAACCATTGAAGTTTAATTCTTAAGTAAATGAGAGGCAAGTTTCTGAAACAAACGAAATGTTATCTTCATCTTAAGTTAGCATTTCTGCTTTCTTAGAAATGACCTAATTAAATAAGAGGGTGAAAGGGGTTATTGCGTGATACGTGATTAAGTGTTTTTAATTTTCGTGAAAGGTGAAAATACGAAATAAAACCCGTGAACTGTGACCGGTTTGCTTGTCGTGATACGTAAACTTTAAAATCTTTTACTCGATATTCGTGATTTTCAACTAATTTTTTTCGGGAAAATAGTCTCAACTGAAGACAAACTTTACAGGGAAGCCAGTGGACCTTCAAATAAATTTTTCTGAAAGGTCTTAAGAGACTCAAAGGCCGGTTATTTAAACAGAGTTTAGCCAGTGGTTGTCAAAACCGTGTTTTAAGTCATTTTCAATTTTTTTCAACGCTTTTATCTTAACAACGGTTATCTTGAACGTTTCATGGCAGCAACAGGGTAGACTGGAGAAACAATTATTTTCTTAACCCTTTTTGGACAGCTAGGGTCGTATACGTCCCCATATGGTACAATGTATACAATTTTCCCCTGACCCATTTAGCTTTCAGTTAATGTTAATAAATTGGTAAGCAACAACGTCAGCAAAGATAGATCTTTCCAGCGATACCTCGTTTTGAGATATTCTTACTAACCCTGGCAGATTTACACTCACAAAAAAGGTAAAAAGTTTGGGAAAATTCCACTGCCAATTTCGCTGTTTACATGGCCTTGAAAATTAAATTTGTCCCTTTCCTAAAAAGTTAGCCAGCCACAATTCTATGCAAAAGAAAGACGATAAAGTGGGCAACAAAACCGCCAATAAAGAAGGAAAAAAAGAGAGCGAGAGAGAAAGATCGAAATAGATTCGCCAAAAAAAGTCCAAATTTTGGCTTTTGCGCATGCGTGAATGCAAAAAAGCTGTTTAATTATGTCAGATTAGTCGGAAAATATGTCTTTTTTTCTTGCAAAACTCGTTTTTAGCTATAATTATGGTAATTAGCCGAAAACTAGTCCAAGGAAGACGAATTGGTGAGAAATGCTGTTTTTTTGCTACTCGCCGGTCGTCACCAAAGGGTTAAAATAACCCACTTAGAAAGAGATCTGGATGCCTAATTATTTCTTAAACCGCGGCGTAAGTTGGGCTTTGTTTTAAATAACCGGCCCTTACAGTCGTTCCTATATATGTCGTTCTAAACTATGACCAAGCCTGCGAGAGCAAACAACGTTTTTGACTCTTTTTTCACCCACCCAGAAAAGGGCGTCTGCGATCCTGAGCTTGGAAATAATTTCCGTGAGCCGATGAGTCAGCTTTTTTTTCACCCAATCATGATTCAACTCTTATTTTCGTAGAGCTAACACATGTGGGGTTTGCGTGGGGATCTTGGTTGCATTGGCCGGCAGTTTTTAAATTAGAGGGACAAGTTTGTAAATTGGAAGGAGTAATATATTATGTACATCCTAAATCTGTGAGATCTAAGGGTTTTCTTAGAGGTAAAGAACGAATTCGAATACCCATAAACAGTAAGCACTCTTCCCCTGAAGCTCTTAAGCGCCACATCATTGAGTACACTGGTTTGAAATCTGAGTCCGAAAAGGGTGGTCTAATAAGATCCTCGACTGAAATAGAACTCTGTCGGTTAGAAAAGTCTGCAGAATGAAGCAAAGCTTCTGCGGTATACAACGACGACAACGAGGTTGAAATGACTTTTCTACGAGCAGTTACTGTACTCGTAGCGGAAGAACCGTCAAACCCAACTTTAATTTGAGACAAGGAAGAGTCAATGACTTTCCTTTTGAGTACTATATATACGTCAGCATTAGTCATCATTAGTTTTCCTTCACCTACATTTCATTGTATGTTTACCTGACTTCCTTCACTTCCCCGCAGTAGTTGTGCGGGAGGCACACAAAAAGCAAAAAATCGACACTACTATTAAACATCAATTAAGTGGTAACTCATCATTAAGTCTGCAGACAGCGGCATCCGGAACAGGTCCCGCCATGCACTGTCCTTTTACTTCGGAAATTTCAGTGAAACGTGAACACGCAATTTTAATTCCCGTGATGCGTTATTTCTACTTTTTAATGTCCGTGATTCGTGCGTATGACCCCCCTTTTACCCCCCTATTAAATATTTAAAAATTTCGAGGAGCTAAGGCGCGGCAAATGCAGTTCGCGTTACTGTGCCTGTGTTCCACCTCGGCGCAGGACTGCGAAAGATTTGCACTGACCATGACTTGCATACACCTTGCAAAATGTGAAAAAGAAAAAACAATTAACTAAACAATCGACCTGGTTAAAAGCAACAACATGCAACAACAATGACGAAAACGACGACGGTTTGTTTGGGATTTCTTTTTCATTTTTTCTTGGAAAATAATTAGCCTTTGTGTCCGCTTTCTTGGATCACCCATCTAAGTTGGTTCAGAAAAGTTACTTGTTTAGAGGTCTTTTTGCACCAAAGCATAAGTGGTGCTGTCTTTTTGTAGTGCCTTTATGTCCGTCTTTTTGTATTGCTCAGTGTCTTCTGTAGCAACAATTCAACATGGTTATGAACTCAATTGTACATATAAATCAGCGTTAAAAATAATTGCTACATAGATGTAGATATCATATATGACAGGCAGCTTGGTCTGAGCTCAGAGTAAAACAGAGTGCTAAATTGCTACCTATTATATTGTTCTTCAGCCGTGGACCAATTTTTATCAGTGGCTATGCATGTTATTGCGCTGGACATTAAAGGACAAAGTGCATCACTTCATCCCAATTAATTGACACAACGCTCTGAAAGCCACTTTATTGGAGAGGATAATGAAAATCAATCTCAAGAAAACTAACTAAAGATTATGATCTTTCAGAAACGTACCAGGAAAAATGCTGAACTTCCTTCTTATAGATGGTCAAATTATTGATGTTGTACAAGAATACACTAATTTAGGAACTCGAATCTCCTCATCAGGAAATTTCTCACTGTCACGTGAACATCTCAAAGAAAAAGTTCTTCACGCTCTATTTAGCTTGAGACGACGTACGAATCTCATCAAACTAAAAACCTCTCTTGCTTGTAAAATATTTGGTACGATGATCTCCCCTATTCCGACATATAAAAGTGAAATTTGGGGTGTGTCTGCCAAAATCAGCTCACATGTCGCAAAGACACAACTCCAATTTTGCAAACGTTTTCTAGAGGTAAACAACAAGGCTTCTAATGTTGCTTGTAGAACCGAACTTGGTCGCTTACCTTTGAATATCACTATCAATCAAAAAATCTTCAACTACATTTTCTATATTACGTCTAAAGATGAAGAATCTATCCGTTAAGCAATGTTAAGTTTTTAAAGTCATTTGATTTATACTGCAATGATAAGAGTAGCTTTCACTCTGACTCACTTGATGGAGATGTCTTCAGAATATTTCAACCTACCTGATTTCAACACTGATTTGTTACCGTTACACCGCTATAGTAAAAAACTTCACAGGTTTATTGAAACAAGAATATGTATCATATTGGCAAAACACCCTTCACCGATCTCAAAACCTAGAATGTTTTAGATCTTTTAAAAGCGATTATAACACTTACGAGGGGAAAAACTGAGAGAAAGAAATTAGTAAACCAACTAATAAGTAACCACAAACTCACAAACTAATGATAGAACTTGGAAGATACAATCAAACTACCACAGATAATAGACCTTTTTATTGATATGGCGGCCATATTGAATTTATTAGATTTAAGGAGTATTATGGGATGCCCAGGGGGGCACTCGCTCAGTATTTATGCACGTTTTTAGGGCAAAAAGAGAACTTCTCTGTATATTCCTCGGGGAAAAAGGCGATCATTATTAAATCCAAACACGGCACAACGATCTTTTTTTCCCACTACAATCTTTTTCTAGGAAAACTTAGAGAAAAATTGGTCCAAAAAGCGCCCATAAATATTGATCCGAGCATATCGGATCAGGCTCATGACCCCTGGGCATCCAATAATACTCCTTAAATCCAATTAATTCAATATAGCCGCCGTATCGGTAAAAAGGTCTATAGGAATTGCCCCTTTTGTGGATCCAATCAAATTGAAGACGTAATTCACTTTCTTTTTAATTGTTCTAAATACTCTTTGATTAGGAATAATTTTTACAATAAAGTTAGACTCTGATTCCAAATATTACCCAGTTACCTGTGAACGTTTTGATCAATGAACTGATGAACACATCTAATTACTATCATTAATTTACAATTCGTGAAATATGTTTCAGCTTGTTTTGACTTTCTTGACGAGTTATTAGCAAAGTAGTTTAATTGGCCAGTCATTGTTCTTAAAACATAATTATACACAGGTTTTGCAACACTGTATATACTTGTATGGTCCTGCAAATAAAGCTTGTTGTTGTTGCTGGAGTGACTAATAAACTTTTATTTGTTTGTTCATTTATTTTAATTTCCAAGCTCCGAGACAAGGGAGTAAATGAGAAGCTGCTAACCTCGATTGAAACTAAACATATTGATGGGGTCCATTAAAGAAGTCCTGTCTAGTCTGTCACCAAGCCTAACACCTTTGATTACATTTGTACCGCATGGTTCAATACTTGGTCCACTGCTGTTCTCTTCCTAATCGACAATCCTTATCCAATCTCTATCTGTGTGCAGATAATTCCACTCTGTTCAGCTAGAAAAGATTGTCGAGTGATAAGTATGAGGCATCAACAGCTCGAATAAAACCTAAAAAGATAAGGGTGTGTGCCGACAGGT